CGACTCCCATTTTGTCCTTTATTTGTTTGATGTAGCTGTGCCTTGGTCTTCCCCTCTCCCTCTTTCCCTCTATTTTTCCCTCAATAATAATGTTCATGAAATCATTGTGCGTATCAAGTGTCCCAACCTTTTTCATCTGTGCACATTTAATAGAGTATTAATAATAATAATTACTTTGAACAATTAATACAGTGCCATGTAATCCCAAGCTAGAAAGAGCTTGTATTATGGGTAGCTTTACGTGAGCCAACTCACTTACCATTCCAATTATTATACATAAAAATCTATTATTTATATTGTCAACCGGGTGAAGACAAATAATTTTATGGTAAATAAAGGTATTTACCTCTCTTGATGTTTTGACTAGGTTACACCAGCCATAGTCACGTGCTAACTATTCGAAATAGTCGGAACATCGAGAGAACTTTTATTTAACATATATTTTTTGTATTTAGACCCCAATCGATAGACCTTTATTTACCATTGATTACGTGCTGACATCAATCAGCGAAATAGTAGAAACGTCGAGACACCTTTATTTACCATAAAGTTATTCGTCTTAAGACCCAGTTAATAATATAAACAACGTATATTAAAACACGAAAGTAATAATAATAATAATAATAGTTATCACATAAAAATCTAATTTAAATTATCATATATTAGATACTAGCTTAATAGCCCTTTAAGTCTGTAAATTTGCGTGTATAAAACAAACTTTCTGTACATAATTAAGCTGGTATAACGAGGGCTTACATTTTGGCTAATTAGCAAGAACTGAGACCTGTTGAGGTTGACAACCACTGCCCGTATAATCCTATTACTAAATTACCTAACAAAATATATGTGAACAAATCTAGATAACCTCAAATATAAGTAAAGGATTGCTTTAAGCGATAAGACCTTTGTTTAGCACATTTATATAAAGTTCTTCTTTTTGTAAATATTTTGTCGCAAATAAACAAAGATTGAGTTTATTATTGTTATAAGGCTAGGCTAGTTATAAATATATTCCGTTTCAACATAATAGAAATGACTCACGAATCGAAGACCTTATAGAACAATTATAATATAACTTATCATTACAAAGTATAAAACAAAGTCGCTATCTCTGTCTGTCCCTCTATATGCTTAAATCTTTAAAACTACGCAACAGATTTTGAAACAATTTTTTTAATAGAGTGATTCTAGAGGAAGCTTTATGTGTATATGTATTATACACATATCGAATAATTTTAAGTAGTATAAATAGTTTTAAAATATAAACGTGTTGGCAATTAGCTGTAAGTTTATATTGTGTTAATTAAATATATAAATAAATACACCCGGGCGAAGTCAGGGCAAGTAGCTAGAATAGGAATAAAATAGAAGTTATGTTATTATTATAAAGTACGTATTTTGACTCTAGGAATCAACTTATGTTACTACCAGCGTTAACCAACAAAGTCATCAACAAAGAATAAATAGATGATATTAAATTAGGTAATTTAACCTATATCCATACATTTATATTATGGAAACCAGGAAGTCTTTGTGATTTAAGAGATCAAATATCCTCACAGTTGCTTCTCAATATTTTTACGAAATTATCATGTATTCCAACAAAAATATACACAGTTTCAAAAGAGTTAGTGATTACACTAATAAAAGCATACGTAATAATTACAAAACTGGTTTTACTTAAATGCCCTTTAATAAAATGTAGTAATTCGTTTTATGGTAATTGCTTAACGTTTTACAACTGCCAGATTCTGTTCTAAATCTGCATGAAAAAAGATTTAAATGTCATAACCACTTTCTTTGCAAAAAGAACTTATTATAAAACTAGCTTTTGCCCGCGGCTTCGCTCACGTTAATTTATCCCCTTAGGGGTGGAATTTATCAAAATCCTTTCTTAGCGGATGCCTACGTCATAACATCTACCTGCATGCCAAATTTCAGCTCGATCCGTCCAGTGGTTTGGGCTGTGTGTTGATACATCACTATGTCAGTCACCTTTGAGTTACATATATTTAGATTAAAGTGTTCGTAAATGATTATAATATTATTGTAGAAAATACTTAAAATTCATAGCGCTGACAATATTATCTGATTGTACTAACTGTTTATAGTGGTTTCAATGTTGATTATCGCATACCTATTACTTGTTATTATGTATTTATTTATTTAAAATAAAATTTATTCAAAAGGCCAAAGTACTCGTTCTTCTTTTGAAAAGTCTGTGTTCCGAATAAGCGGTAGAATAAAAAAATATGACTATTTAAAAGTGCTCAAAGATTATGTCTATTTCTATTTCGTCAAGATTAATCCAAGAGGAATTCAATAAGATAATTTGTGTGAAAGTCAATAAGGTATAATGAAATTATAATCATTAGTCTTATTATTTTTCATTACATTATTTAATGGATGATAATGAAACGGTGCACCCGTCTGAGCTAAGGGTATATGCTGGCGGGGCACCAGTGGAGGATAACAAGATAAACATAAGGTCAGGTCAGTGAACCCATCGTGACAAATTGAGGAATTTATTATAATGATTTTCAGCGGAATAATCATTAATAAATGTCCATACATTGTTAGCAATCGGGTCAACTATCCACATTATTAACCATCCCTTGCCGCTCATATTTTTTTTTTAATAATATAAATTAATAAACAAAAACTAACAGTAAATTGTCTCCAATATACAAGAACAGTTCGGACAGGATAGGTACACCTCGTGTATTGGAATTCTAAGATTAAGTGTCATACCTTCGTATACAACCACTTCAGTGTAATATCCAATAGTTAATCCGAATAACAGACTACAAAGGAAACCGCTGCATTCCGAAGGACTGAATGTCATGCCCCTTATCCAGTAATTTCACTGAGTACTCTTATCGTACAACCGAAACACAATTTGCTAATCAAGCTGCTTAGTGGCTGAAATAAATGAGACATATATTATTATATGTATATGTCTCATTTATTTCAGCCACTAAGTACTACTACTATATATTTCCTCTGAACTATTCACGCAGAGCGATCTAGTCCCAAGCTACGCAGAGCTTGTGTTATGGGTACTAGACAACTGATACACTAATAATACTTAGATACAGAGTACCATGTCAGGTTGACCTCTATGTGGTTCCACCTGGAAACCATCGTGAAAAATTCATGGTGAATTTACCACGATGAGCTAACTGACTCGACCTCATGCTCATCTTATCATCCTCCATTGGTGCTCCGCCAGCTTTTACCTTTAGCGCAGGCGTGTGCACCATTCCATTATCAAGATTATGAAAAAAATACTAACATATTTATTTTTGTAAATACGTACATAATAGATCTAAAAACATCCTAACCGATACAAACATTTGTTCGATGCCAGGAATTGAATCCGCGACCATCGAGACAAAAGCGGCGTGCTAAACCGCTAGATCACCGCCGCCTTCATCTACTATATATGTAATATGTATTAGATAAGATTATGCGTGAGAAAACAATTGTCCCCTTCGATCCCAAGGGCGGAGCTATAAACGAAGCAGTTAGGGAATCCATAAAAGGCTGTAAGCGACGTAAATATAAATTCCTAGGAAATGCCAAAATGTTCATACCATTTGCTACCGAAGGTCTCTCTATATAGGAATAAAATAAAAATAGAAATAATCTTTATTCAAATAGGCTAAAGTTATATAACTTTTGAATAGTCATATTTTTTATTCTAAATATTATCATCATTATCATCCGGAAACCAGAATTAGTACATAAAGAGTATAGCACTGCCTTGTTGCTTTATATAAATATTGTTTAATTTTACATTTTTAAGAGAAATAAAGAGAGTTGTTTCTGAAACCAAATTCAGCACAACAATAATAAATAATAAACTTACCTGTTCTTCTACAAAAATGTTATTTAATTTTATATTTTTATGACAATAGAAATAAGAAGGATTGGGATTAGTGATATCAAATTCCTAATTCGGACCGTGGTGACTGTTTCAAGTTATGTTCCCTGATTAAATTATTTTTGTTTAGTGATATTTTTTTTTAATTTGATCGGCGATCAGTCGCAAGACTATACGCTGATGTGTTGAGTGCTGCTTATTATGTAGGCGAAGAGGTCAGCACGACTTCTGCCTTTCTATAGTATATTCCTCCCCTTCAGTCTCTTTAGTGTGCGAGAAGGCTCCAAGACCGGTGCTGTCAATGGATTAGGGTTGCTGGACAGTCGTTCTGTATACATCTTGTTGTACCGCTTTATTTCGTCATGAATTGTTGGCACATTCAGATACTTATGAATCTCTTCATTTTTCGAGAACCATGATGCATTTGCTATAGTATGCACGATGCATATTATAGCAAATATTAATTTAATGCAATTTTTTTTGGACAATTCATACAGCGCCATATAGTTGCAAGCTAAGCAGATTGTGTAGGTGCGAAACAACTGATACGTATAGTATGAGATACTTTGATTTCTAAATACATACATAATATACATAGAAATCACCCTGATAAAAACAAGCCATGATAGTTACTCATGAATACAATCGAACCCGCGACTATCGGAAGTAAAGCGGTGTGCTAAACTGCTATACCACAGAGGTCGTCAAATATTAATTTATAACATCCAAAACTAACAATCTAAACCTACAAATGTTGTATGTATCCACAATGACCTATATACAATTTCATAATAATTATTTAATCTCTTAAATACATAACAAATATGTACTCATTAACAAGTTCGATGTTTAAAATTAGGTTATAATTATTTTAGGTTTTGTATGTACCTAACGTATTATTTATATATGATATTAAGGTAGGTCAATGACTAAATGTAAATATGCAGACATATTTGTGTATCAAACGTAGGGTAGCATGTATGTTTTAATGTATTATTATTTTAAAGAATTATAATAATAATAATATTTATTTATTTTCTTTATATAGTCTTTATTGGACTACATATATTAAAAGATCCAAAATAACAGTGTAACAGGGTACAATAAGCTGGCCTTATGGCTTCTGCAATTTCTTCCAAGACAACTGTTCGCGCGTCTTCTAAAATCATAAAAAAAAATAATAATAAATTGGTAAGCCGCCACACTGCTTTTTCCCGCCCCCCTTTCCCCGGCACAATATGGACAATTCATCATTCGCCGCCATCTAACAAGTGAAACAACCACCGCATGCATCAATTTTAATTAATCAAGGAGCTCCTTAAATATTATAACAAACTGTATTTGTGTCGCGAGTGTGGTGTATTGTAATTGAAAACTTCAAGTGCTTCAAGTCGCCGACGCAGATCATCTATATTATAATTTGTGCAATTTGGGTGAGTTCCTTATTTCCCTTTTCCTACGATCACTGCAGTGTGGCTAAAAAATACATCAACAACCAATATAAACTTTTCTCCATATAAACTGTATCAATTTCATAATCCTCCATCCACGTAAGTTTAATAAATGTATACAAACATTTAGTGTCATAATATTATAATTATAATAACTATATTCATTGTTATAAAACAGTTTTATTAATACATATTTAACTGGTAATTTATAGAAATAGAATAATTATTATTAATCATTAAATGAATTTTAATTATCATTATAAATACATACCTCTAGAGGAATAACACCGCATGTGACGCATACATCAGCTAACGCCAGATGTGTCATCAATAGATCAACTCTTGACTTCCTGCGCCTGGTCCGCGCTAGAGTGATCAGCACAGCCAAGTTGCCAAGTCCTCCAATAGCCAACAGCACCCCATAAGTGGCCAGCACCGCACCCTGGTCTCGTGGCAAGGTGTCAGTTATACCACTCAAATTGTAGTTTGTAGTTGTTGTGGCATCGAAGTAATCCCAAAATATCTTATCAATTTCGGACGTGCTCACGTCGAGTGGTGTCTCGTTATAATTATCATTTAACACCATTTTAATTAATTATCACATTAAATTAAATCTAATTAACACTGCATATAATCACTACATAGTTGTATTTAAGGTTTTAGCGCAACATTTTAACTATAAAATAAAAATTGAGTTTATAAGTTGCCAGCATCATAAACATTATAATTATCATTTAACACTATTTTAATTATTTATTTATTATTTTAATATATTTAACAAGTAACACTGTGACTGTGCAATGAAACTATTAAGTTATTTTAAAAGTTATCCAAGAAGTTTTAAAGCTTTATAAACTTTTAACACAACACTTTCGTCACTAGAAATTATAAATAAAAAATATTTAAAATAAGAATAATTTATATTTTTTTAAAGAATAGATATTTTATAAACTGTATCTTAATAACATGTACACATAGATCCGACTTTTTACATCTAATATAATTATTATTTCACTTTCTTATAAATATATAATACATAATTGATTATATTTTATATTCTATTAAATTTTAATATTAAATCTCTAAATAACAAATATTTGTTAAAGTTTTTCAATTGTTCGTAACCGACGTAGCTTTCGTCTAGTAGACGTGTAGCTTACGCGATCTCGTAGCGGCAACTGGCGGCTACGGACTACGCCGTAGAACACCGTAGAACGGATGAGGTGCAGCGTAGACACAGGAAGTTATTAAATATTTTAATTCATTCTCTTTAAAAAACGAAATCTAATAACTTGCAAAGATGTTTTCATCAAAATTAATGTAAGAAATTTTAACAAAAGGAGTAACTTTTTAGTTTTAATATTTAAAAATGTTTTAATTACAATTTGTGTCTGTTTTTATGTAAAAGGTGCTTATATTAAGTTTTAAATTACTATTTAACTTTTGAACGGTAATATTTTTTTAGTCTACCACACATACGGAACGCAGACTCATCGCAATAAACTTGCGTGTTGCTCTTTTATATAATTATTATTTAGAATTGAATTTTAAGAATTACGAGAAACAAGGAGCCAAAAAGCAAAATTAAAACTAGAGTAGCAAACAATGTGATAAATGTCACCTATGCTACATACACGATATGATATATATACATATATATCATTATCATAATTACCATCATCATTATCATTACATAGTATGAAACAAAGTTGCTGTCGCTGTCTGTCCCTATATAATATAATCTTTAAAACTACGCAACGGATTTTGTAGCGGTTTTTTTAGTGATTCAAGAGGAAGGTTTATATATGTACTAGCTATTGCCCGCGGCTTCACTCGCGTTAATATATCCCTTAGGGGTGGAATTTATCAAAATCCTTTCTTAGCGCATGCCTATGTCATAACATCTACCTACATGTCTAATTTCAGTTCGATCCGTCCAGTGGTTTTGGCTGTGCGATGATAGATCACTATGTCAGTTACCTTTGAGTTATATATATATATATATATATATATATAGTACATGTACACCCGTGCGAAGCCGCCCGAAATATATTTTTATAAATATATAATATTGTGAGTATGGGTGGATGTTTGTTACTCTTTTATACAAAAACTACTGAACGGATTTTGTTGAAACTTTACAGTAATGTAGCTTGTACATGAGAATAACACATAGGCTATAAATTTCATGGGAATGAAACCGCGGGCACAGCTAGTATCTATATATATGTGTATATCAAGATAAGAAAATAGTCGAGGAAGTTTGCTGTCTAAGTTGAGCGTAATGGATTACAAGTCGGGAATCTCACAGAATTAAATCTGGATTTATTTAGGTATATACTATATATTACCTCTATCAATCTTAGAAAATCTGTCTGAGTAGAAATAGGGATTAATTAGCAATAATGAAAGTGGAGATAGACGTGATTCGACGTGAATATGACTGATGGCCTCTGTGGTGTAGCGGTTTAGGTCACTGGCTGAGTTTCGATGGTCGCGAGTTCGATTCCACGCGCGGTACAAACATTTGTATTCATGAGTATGATTGTTTGTATAGGTCTGAGTATTTTCTATATCTATTATGTATGTATCTATAAAAAAAATTATATGTAACAGTTGTCCAGTACTCATTACATAATCACAGCTTAGATTGGAAATAAATGGCGCTGTGTGAATTCTCTAGGATTATTATTTTTATTATCATACTTCTAAAAGTACGTAATTTATTTAAAAACCCTAAGCAACCTTCGTATCACGACACCGTTACATGTACAACCCTAATTAGTTTATCTTCAGTGGATGCCACGCGTAATCCTATAAACAAATTTCAACCCTTGATGTCACTAGTGGGTAGGACTGAAAAACTGTACGAAACATGTACCATTTTTCCCGATTAATGTACCCCATCGAAAACAAGTATTCCAAACAGAGTGCAGCTGAAAAATATTTTTTAACATTATGTTTTCGTGGAAGTTACGCAATTACATCAGCTACCGAACCGTTCCGACTTAGATCAGAACGTTTTAAAATGATGACATGTTTTTTTAGATATCTGTATTTTTCAAATGTTTTATATTTAAAAATTCTATTAATTAACTAGCTTAATACTGCCGCACTACACACGTGCAGTTTAGAAGAATATTACTATTCTCTTATCTGTGGATATAAGAAGAAAACTCTATAGAACTTTTATATAGCTTTAGTATAACCTCTACTGTCTTTGACTTTCTTGGTGGTCGAGAGGTTTAGCAGACGGCTTTCCTTTCTATGGTCGTGAATTCGATTTGCCGTACGATGCAAACATTAATTCATGAGTATGATTAGTAAGTAAGTAAGTCATTTATTCGCATTACAGACAGATATGCACATAACAACAAAGCCCCAGTGACAGTAGTAGGCTGCGCTGTAATAAGCCTTTTTTTAGTAGGCACGCAAATTTTATTAATAAATATTATAATATATGATCTACTAGCTTTTGCCCGCGGCTCCGCTCGCGTTAATTTATCCGCTTAGGGGTGGAATTTATCAAAATCCTTTCTTAGGGGTTGCCTACGTCATAGTAGCTTTATGCATGCAAAGTCTCAGCCCGATCGGTTTAAAATTGACAAAGTTTCATACAAACTTTCATCCCCTATTTTGTCCCCTTGGGAGTAGAATTAATCAAAATCCTTTCTTAGCGGATGCCTACGTCATAACATCTACCTGCATGCCAAATTTCAGCCCGAACTGTCCAGTGGTTTGGGCTGTGCATTGAGTTATATATTTTTAGATTGATGTATTAAATTTAATTCAAATCCATTCATCAGTTTTGGCGAGAAAAAGTAACCAACATCCATCCATCCATCCATCCATGTTCACAACTTCCGCATTTTCAATATTAAATTTACAAAAAATACTAAGTGCGTCCGGAGATTACCTTCCACATACGATACAAATTACTTTATAATATGTTAAGTAATATTATAAGAGAGTAATATAATTTTCGTTTCTTTTCTCTGTCACCTCCTTTTAGTATATCACCCGAAGCTACAGCATTTTCTAGACCCCTACACTATGTCACTGTCTCCTGGTCAATCTATTTTTATAAAGTAATTTGTAGTATGTATAATAAAGTTGTGTATACGAGTTAGTATCATAAAATTGCGATTCAACTATAAAAAAAGATATCTGATATTAAAACTCAAAGGCACACGGATATACTACACCTTTGACTTGTTTATTAAAACTTCCGGCATGTAGCTTGCTTGCATGACAAGTTCCGATTTAAAAAGTTAACATACAAGCTACATACTTCCCACTTTAAAACATCCACACATGACCTACAATCAGGGAGCGCCCTAGATCTTTTTCTAGATCACACTTCTTAAAACATCTACACACGATACTCAAAATGGAAGAGAACAATTGGAGTAGCGCGTGAATTTCCCTTCGTATATCACACTGCACTTAGGGACAATTATCTCCTAGGAAGTGTTACCGCCATGTATGTAGATCAAGACGATTTCAAACAGACTGCGTTTAGACATGCCACTAGTATTTAAAAATCGGTACTAATTTTGAAGTTGTGTGTAGACCGTTTAAATGACATTTTATATTACAATTTTTAGGGTATTATAACAAACGCGTAAAACTCACCTCTTTGCTGATCATTATGATCGCAATTACGTTGACTTGCCGTCCTCGGTAGTATAGCGGTCTAGCACACCGCTTTACGTCCGATGGTCGCGGTTCGATTCCTCGCACGGCACAAACATTTGTATTCATGAGTATAATTGTTTGTATCGGTCTGGGTATTTTCTACGTATTTACGAAAAAAAATATATGTATGATTGAAATGACCCTTCCTTTCCTCTCGGTATCGTTTATTATTTTTATATTTTATAATTTTTGTTACAATGGTACAAAATGATGTTGCGTTTATTTGAATTGTGTCGAAGTGAAGCCGTTTGTTGCCAACATCACGCCGTTAACTTTATTTGCGCCCAGTCGTCAATAGATGGCGCGAACATACCGCCCGCCTTGGAAGCCGCTGCTTTCAATTCATTATTGAAATATATATCAATTATCAGAATTTGTCGTATAGGTTGTAGACGATGTTGTAGGAGCTGATGATTTATTTTCATCAGTAGATAGTGGCAGCGGGCAAATTTTTGTAAATGCACGCTGTATTTGGCCAGTCGCCGTGCGAATGTCAGCAACTCGTGAGATTCCGTCTTTGCCTGGATAAACTCGTATAATCCTTCCCAAACGCCATTTAAGAGGGGGTTGATTATCTTCCTTCACTAAGATAAGAGTTCCCAATTTTATATCGCCTTTATTTTCTTTCCATTTGATTCTGTTCTGTAGCTGTGTCACATACTCCGTCGACCACCTTCTCCAGAAATGTTGTCTCATCTGTTCCACCCGGTTGTATCGAATGAGTTGACTGCTCTGCGTGTTGGTGAAGTCGTGGCAAGCAGGAGCGGTCAGAGGTCGGCCGATGAGGAAATGAGCAGGAGTTAAAGGTGAATAATCGGCGGGATCTGTGGACATAGCTGAGAGGGGACGGGAGTTCAGGACGGCCTCTATTTGTGTCAATACCGTGCT